ATGGACGTGAAAATCAGAGGAGGAAAGTTTGAGGAGAAACAGGATGTTAGCACAGTCAAAACGTATCTCTCCCAAGATGTTTATTAATTACATAGGGAAACCTGGCAGACAACACCTTAACCAGGTGTTCAGAGCTAACATCAATATTAACGAGACAGCGACATCGTGAACCCCCCAAATGATGCACTGAGAAAGGCCTGACATCATTCTGTGGAATTCTCACCCAAAACACGTAACTTCAATCCAGTCATGAGAAGACATAAGACCCATCCAAATTGAGGGACTTCCTACAAAACAACCAACTGGTACTCCAAAAGTGCCAAGTCACAAAAGACAACAGACTGTCATGGATTGTAGGAGGTTTGGGAGTCATGACTAAATCAAATGTAGGATCCCGGATTCAATTCTACAACAGAAAAATTCCAATTCTAATGGAAAAACTGGTGAAATCAGAATAAAGTCTATAGTTTAGTTAATAGTACTGTAGCAGTGTTAATTTTTTGGTTTTGATAATAGAACACAGTTCTGCAAGATATTAATCTTAGGGAAGGTTAGGGAAGCTGGAGAAGGTTACATGGGAACTTACTGCACCACTTCTGCAAATTTTCGGAAGTCTAAAATTACATCAAAATAAAAAGTTAAGGGAAAGTTATCATTTTCATCCACACGAAAATGATTCTACAACACTCTAAGTTTCCTGAATTTTTTTGGATACATTAAGGATTAATGATCAGGGGGAAATGAGCAGGTTAAAAATGGACAGAGCAACTGGCCAAATGTTAAGCCAAATGACAGGATCAAAGGAAATGTGCCAGATGTTTTCCAACAGCTCTACATATGGAGGCACCTACAATCAGCAGGGATGCCACTGTAAAAAGAAACCAGACCACCAACTCTGGTTTCAGCTATCACATAAAGAATGACCTATAAATACCTCATTCTCTCCTAAGAATCCTATTTCCATTACTCTTTTTGAATCCTCTAGAAAAGTATACCTACTATGCCCCAGAATTTTGTGTACCTGTGTATATGTTTGTAAGCTCACACAGACCTACATTAATGCTTAACTGAACAAGAGTTGGCACCTTGAAATAAACGTCTTTCTAATTAATTATTTTCAATCCAGGAATGTACCACTAAATATGTGGTACATTCTTGGATTTTTTTTTTTAGCCCAGGTCAACAAACTTTTATTGCCATTTCTGGCTCCCCCAGCCCCAGCAAGACCCCTGCTTATACGGTAGAAATACTGAGCTCTGGTGCAGAGGAATGGGGGGTGTTACCTCTCTTTCTCTGCACACTGCCAAGGTTAAAAAAAAGAAACCCACTTACTGGAGAGGGAAGGCCATACAGGGTTGGAGTTCAAGGGCAGGTATGGCTCAGTCCCACCTCTGCTGGCTGCAGAATATAGAGACCATGGTTCCAAACATTTTTTAAAGGAGGGGAGAAGTTGCCAACCCTAGTCTTTTCCACAAACAAAATATTTACTTTCTATTCATCACTAATACCATTTTAATCAAATCATTCCCCTTATAATGAACAGTTATGCTATTAGGAAACAATATGCCCTTGACAAAAGTTTTAACATTGCTATAGAATTAGAATTCCTAGGATAACCTGGAGCTTCTATATTTGTTTTTCAGGAACAGTTGGCTCTTTTCCTCCTCTATTTTTGTCCTCTTTCAGGAAGTTTATGGTATATTGAGATAAACATCAGAAATACTCATAGCCATTTTATACTATACCTTCACTAAAAAATGTTGTATATGTTACTTGTATATAACTTAGGAAATCTTTGAAAAACAAGATATCTAGCTTCATCTTCAGCTACCTTTCATTTTGTAAGTGAAATCATTTTGAACATATGTTAACATTTCACTCTCGATTCTGAATAAGGGTCTAGGAGCTTAGCTTCTCTAAAAATCACATGATTCTAAAGATAATTCCAACCATTTGTTTCAACAGAACTGAGAATTTGTAATCCTTCGTTCTCTTTTATCCTTACAACAGAATGTAAATATAGAATGTTTGTGAAATAAGGAATTGCTTTCCCTCCTCGCAACAAATGCTTAGTACTCCTGAGTCTCTTCCCTGAATGAGTAAGTTTGGGGGATAGGTACCAAAAATGTTCTACTCCTCTTTACGTCAACAGCTGTGATTAAACGCGGTAACAGTAATAATGCAGCTAACAATTATCAGGTGCTTCCTTGGTGCCGGATGCTAGTCTAAGCAGCTGAAGCAGGCTGCCCAAGGTCACACGGTAGGAAACGGTGTAAGTGATGAACGGCGTCTGGCAGTCTGACCCCAAGCCTGAGTAACTGGCAAGTACACTTTATACTGGCTACTCACTTTAATAAAGTAAAATGGGCAGGCCCCAAAAGAAATTACAATGGACACCCAGCTTCAGTGTTGAAGAGTAACAGGGACAGGTGTGTAATGGAGCCCATGGAAGCCTCAGTTGCTGGATCCTTTGGGGGGTTTGTTTGTTTGTTTGTTTGTTTTTAATGGGAAGCTGACGTCCAGATTTATATCTGAAGCTTCTTGATTTTGAAATGTTGCCACTTATTTCAAGCTTTTTTCTAAAAATCCTATTGGTCTGAAAGGTCAAGGGCTACATTCTCAAGGCAGGCTCTTCATCTCATTTCTCTTTGTATCACTAATGCCTATTGCATTTCTGGCACATAGTAGGTACAAATACGTTGACATACTGTTAAAAATCCTTCCATTTTATCTTGGCCATTTGGTAGGAATTCATTAATTTATTGAGCTACTACAGTGGGCAGACACTACTCTGGGCACTTGGGATACAATAGTGAAGAAAAGAGAATAGTAGAGAGAGACTATATTTTAGTGGAAAAAATAGGCCAAAAAAACCCAAAATCAAAAGCACATAAAGTCAGATGAAGTATGGGCTTGGAAAATAAGGAGATGGCTTGCTTTGAAATGAAACTATGCTACCCAGAGCTAAAGAAAGATGATACTTAGAAAGTCAGATACAATAGCCCATGCTTCCTAGTGCCATACTGGTCACTACTCCACAAATACATTACAACATATGTAAGCGATTTAAAGGAAAGGGTATTCTTGAAAGAGAGAGTGCTCTCTTCATAAGTGGAACAATACAATCTTGCTCCTTGGCTTGAAAGGGAGTATTGATCAGTAGTTAGTGAGTCAAAGGTTAATAACTCAGGCCTGATTACTTCTGTTACCAGACGCATGATTGATAGTGTCCTCGGGCTCCCTGTAAATACAGGAACCTCTTTTTGATCACTGTTACTGAGAACCAAAGAATTAAGCTCTTCTCTCACAATTTAGTTGTAGGGGGCGGGGGTCGTCTATCTCCTGCATCAGAGGGTGAGTAGCACGAAGGCTCCCATACAGAGGGTACAGGGCAGTCACCAAAAATGCAAACTTGGAGCAACATAAATCTAATTGGCAACTGTATGGTAAAACACTATGATAGGCAACTCTTTTGCTCTCGTATATTATTATTCCACGAGACCACATGCTGAGTTAATGGAACTTCTCCAGTTTGCTATGGAAAGGGATATAATTTCGGATTGCCCAAATGGCACAATCTGGCTCTTGCTCCCAGACAGCTGCAGGGAGCTATAGACAGGATAGCTACACCAGGACCATCTAAAAACGCACAAACCTGGCCCCCACTTCTCACCAAATCACGTATATCTATTTAGTTACTCATAATAGGAGTAACTATAGCCAAGGATCATGTTTAGAAAAGAAAACACTCTAAAGACAAACGCAAGTTTGTACCTTCAAGTAGCCTTTAAAATAATGTGCACAGCTCTTAAAACTGGAAGAAAAATGTTATTTTCTCATTGTCTGTATATAATAATTAGATTTCACTCATGCTGCTCTTTTAGGAAGAAACAATATTTTCTTTGTTAGCCAAGCCCAACACAGATCTCATGCCAATGCAGTTTGCTCTTCGCATGGATGCTAGCCAAGAGGATATTTCTTGAAATAAAGTCACAATCTGTTGAAAGCCTTGCAAGTCAATTAAATTAGGAAACAAGTAATCTTTATCACATAACTAAAGATAAAAGTATGAGAAAAAAATGACTGAAAATAAACATGCAAAAAGCACACTATTCAAATCTCCCCACTTGTAAAGAAAACCATTTGTCAATGGATCCATTGCAGGTAGTCACATTTAAACAAATAACACTTCTCCTAAATATGTGTCAGATGTCAAATCATCTCACTTAGTGTAATATTTTTGTCCACAGAAGGAAACTTCCTAAGGGTCTAATATTTTCGTTTAGTTAATAGAAGTCTCATTGGCCTTGATCTTGCATCAAATAGATGAACACTGATAGATTGACTAACATTAATTAATTAACATAGATATTAAATCTAAAATGCACATAGTGAGAAGCCTTCAAACCTCTTTTTGATCCAAAGGAAAATTATAATTGCATTTATAGACAGAGTCAACATTAGCAATAATAGTGACACCAATGTATACAATTGGAAGGTTTTTTTAAATCTAGAAATAAGATTGTTTTTAAAAGTCTACTGAGATTTCCTTTTTGGAGACTCTCCAGCTGCGCTTTAGCTCCTGTGAAATGCAGTTACTAAATACATTCTCGATAGTGTCTGAGAATTAAGATAATATATTTTACTTTTTTTTTCATTTTCCCCTGCTGTTTCATTTAAAAAAAATTTTTTTAATTCTCCAATAGCTCAATAGGTGAATTTGGCAGACATCAGGCATATGCCTATTATCAGCAAGTTGTACCAGGAATGCAACTCCGCTGCTAACCTCTCCTAGCCATCGTCTTTAGCCATTGCCGGCTGAGACTTCCCATCAAGGACAAATACAAAGAACGGGAGGCTCACTCATCCAGTCCTCCAAAACTTGAAACAACAATCAAGCGACGGTGGTCCTACGCTCCGGCGGAAAACCCAGCTGCATATGAACCCCCCACCCCCACCCCAGCCCAGGAGACCTCTGCCCCTTCGGCGCGGTGGGTTACCTGCTGCCTGGGTGGCTGGCGGCGTCCCGGGGCGCGCAGCGCGGCTCGGAGCTGGGCGGCTGGGGGCGCGCGTACGAGTGGTAGGCGGTCAGCACCACGCCGCCCGAGTCCTCTACTTCCATCGTCAGCCGCGCATGTCTCCGCTCCGGCCCGAGAACAAAGGCGGGGACCAGCATGGGCCAGCGCACCGGACCGGTCACCGGCGGGGAGGCGCGGCCCGTCCGGCTCCCAGGGCAGAGGGGCTCCTCCCGCCGCTGGGCTGTCAGGGGCGCGGGCAGGCCGCCCCGCCCGCCGGCCGCCGATTAGCCCGGATTCAAATACACGCCCACCAGGCCCCCTGGGGTGGGGTGGGGCGGGGAGGGCGAGGCGGGGCGTCGGGGTGCTGGCGGCCGAGGACGGGGGAAATGGGGTGTGGGATCCCTGCGTCTAGAAAACTGGAAACCCGCCGCGATGCTTAGGGGCTCGGGCTGGCTGCTCTAGTAAAGTTTTGCTTGCTTTGTTTCTTTTCCTGTTCCTTTTCTCAACCCCCAGCCCCACCCCTTCAAACGGGAGGCTTGTCCCATAGCTAGGAACATTTCCTGCTGGGCAGCCCGAAGTCAGAGAAAGAAAGGGCGCCTGGGGATCCCCGGCTGAGAAGCAGAGGGGCCGGCTCCAACGTGCGCGGGCTGGCGAGGAAAGGAAGAAGAGTCGACGCCGTCTCATTGAAAGCCTCCACATCAAAAACTGAAGAACCGGGTCACGTTGCTGTTTACTTAGTCCAGTTCCAGTCAACGGGATTTCCTTGCGGGCAGGTAATGCCCTCTTACGACAAACAGGACACTTCCCTCCCTCACCCTCGGTGCCGCAACCATCAGGGTCTTACCTCACTCCCACATCCCTTTCGTCCTCCCCATGCCGCTCAAATTCACATCCTGCTTTCAGCTGGCCTGCAAATTAGACTTGATCGCTCTGGGAAGAGAGCCTGTTATTCCCAGAGGGCTTTATTGAGGGAGGGTCTGGGGTCTGGCAGGGAGGTGGATAAAAGGGAGCATAGTCAGACATCTGGGGCCTGAAGTACGTCTTTACCTCCATCAGACTAACAGCACATATGGAAAGAACATTCTTTTAGCCAATGAAAAAGAGAAGCAGTAGAATGCTACATAGAGGCCCACCCCGACAAGGCATTCTACCTTCTGCCTCTTACGCTCAGCTGGGAGCAGGCAGACTGGAAGGAGAACTGAGTTCACCCCTCACTGAGGGGTGACCTGGATCCTGCTATTAACATCTCAGAATCTGTTTCTGTATCTGTGAAACGGGGAGAATAATATTCTTCTCGTGGGGTCAAAAGCATCAAGTACATGCTAGCTCTCAAGAAATGTTGATTCCCTCTGCTGCTTCCTTCACATTCATCAAGAAAGGAGACATTTGTTTTCACTGCACTTCCAGAGATTGGGAAAGCAAAAAAAAAAAAAATTCATCCAAAATGCTTTTTAGAAAATGTTTTGTTGACTAAAACGGTGGGATAATAATAACATTTACTAAAATACTTACTCGCTGTGTGTTGGATCCTATACATTAGCTCTTTAAACAACTCTGTAAGGTAGGTAGTATTATTATCTCAATTTTCTGAATAAACAAACTTGGGAAGCATCAGTGTATGGATTGGGCACAAAGAATGCTTCATTCTCCAAAAATTGCAGCTACAAAGAGGCATCTGTTTACCGACTGTGTTTAATGCCAAATACATTGAAACTAAGAGAATACTTTCTTAAAATATGAAATAAAGAAATAGTATAAGTATTGATACACGTCCAGAATGCCTCATCTAAAACCTTGGAATGGGGTATGTTTTAGAATTTATAAATATTTTTTACTTTTAAAAGGTAATTTGGTGCATGCACCATTTAACATAGAACACCTCCTGTCCAGTGCGATTTGGGACAGAACCCTGTATTCAAATATATTATTCCTTCAGCAAATAAATGGACCCTAAGTGGGATAAATAAAGTCTGTTAATACCCTTACATTTATGAAGGTCAGGTTTGTCACCAGACAAGTTTTGACACTAAACTTTTAAAAATGTGTAATTTTACAGCTTTCTGAATTTTGGAATCACCATAAGGAATTATAGTAGTGGAACCTTTTCTGGGCATGGAATTTCTCCTTGGCATTTTCTGTTTGTTTGTTTCTGAACTACAGACTCACAATTTTAAATACCTGCAGGGTACTTCCTTGAAAATATTTTTTCCATAACTCATGTGCAATGTTGCAGAGCTCTCCCTCATGCCAGCTGCAGCGGCTCTCCGCTTTCTCTTGAGTGTTCATATTTTAGACACCCTGGAGTCCCTTGGGGTCCTCGCTCCAAACAGTGATCACATCTGTCATTTTTTTCTCATTCTTTCAATTCTATTCCCACCACCACTGTCCTTGTTCTAGCGTCACCATCTCTTTCCTGGGTGACAGTGAGCTTCCCTGGACACAGGTTACCTTCCATCACCTTCCTCTTCAACCCTCCCCCACATTCAAAGTGCTGGGAAAGTGATTTTCCTAAAACATAGGACCTCCCCTTTTCAAAAACCCTCAGTTGTAACCCACTTGCTACAAAATAAAGTCCAAGTTCCTTAGAATAGGTTCTCATTAATCTGTTTTGGTCACCTACTGCTTTTTTACTCCCAAGTCTCCGTGGCCCACTTACACCAGCCTGTCTTGCATTCTTACCTTTGCCTTTGCTCTTCTCTGTCCTTTCCTGTCTGGAAATCCTCAAAACCCCCTACCTACCCCCACAAAGTCTTCTCAGGTGTTCCAAACCAAAGGAACCCCTCCTTCTGCCCTCCTGAGGAAACTGCTCTTTCTCCTGCAGTGGGGACCACCCCACTTTGCCCTACAGTGAAAGCACAGTCAGCCAGAGCCCTGTGTGCGCTGAGTTCACGCCTGGCTCCTGTGCACTCATCACACGGGGCTAACAGGGCAGACTGGTGTTTCCCACCAAGCCCAGATGTGGCCACAAAATCTCAGAATGGAGCCCACAGCAGCAAGGTAGATTTGAGATGAAACTGTGCTAGGATTGTATTACTATTTTCCAAAACATTAGTGTCTTTTCCTAAGTTGTAAGCTATTGAAAGTGCTAGTGTCACATTTTTATCTTTACATCCCAGAGCCCATGTTTTGCAGAGTTGGCACTCAGTAAGGAATCTTGTTGAGTGAATATATGAATCAATGAATGAATCAGTGAATGAGATAGCCCTCTTGAGTGCGACAGTTGCAATTTTCAGGGTAGCCAAGGAATTATTATAAATGATTCATTTATAATAATTCTCTATGGCACTGCAAACTAATAAAAAGTTTCACATGTATGTATTAATATTTTTTGAGTGTGGATATACGCTGTTGACTTAATAAACGACAACTCTTTAAGCATTCGTGAGTTTTCAAGTTTCATAAATGTGGTAGAGAGCATGTATTAGATTTTATAGAATACACTGTACAAGATATTCACCTTTTGCCCTTCAGATCCACTTGCCACCCTCATGCCCCTGCTTGGTGCCAGTGGCTCACTTTATGGTCTGCATCTGTGAGCTCTCTTGCCTCTGGCTTCAGATAGGGTGCGATCAAAGAGAGGCTCCAGCAGAAGATCTAGAGGGAGACGGAAAAACCAGGTTGGGTATTTATTTCCCAGGCTTCTTCTCTATTTTGCTGCCAGCTGGTTCCTTCTACCCAAGGCCAGAGCTCCTAACTGCAGCTTTCTCCCATGCTGCTCTCTCTGGATTCCCGTAACTCTACCTCCATCTGGCTCTTCACGCCTAGGGGTGGTAACAGCTTCTGCTTCATCACGTAATCCCTCCTTCTGCCCTCCTGCAACATCCCTGTTGTTCCTTCACCCCACCCACACCTTTACAGACAGTCCTTTTAATAAACTCTGCTCATTCACCTGGGCTGAGTACTCCATCCCTTCCTGCCAAGACCCTGGCTGATAGGTATCCCCTTGAGATCTGGGCAGTACCCTGTGAGCAAAAGCATTAGCACATCTGCAGTCAACTGTGCGAGGACTCACACTATGAGGGATAGGTACACACGATAAATAAACTCATGTCAGTTCAGGTGCTGTGTCACCAAATAAGTTCAGGTCTGAAAGAGTTTTACAGTCAAATGAGTTAAGAAAAAGCTTCCACAGCCACATAGCACAGGGAGATCAGCTCGGTGCTTTGTGACCGCCTGGAGGGGTGGGATGGGGAGGGTGGGAGGGAGGGAGACACAAAAGGGAAGAGATATGGAACATATGTATATGTATAACTGATTCGCTTTGTTGTGAAGCAGAAACTAATACACCATTGTAAGGCAATTATACTCCAATAAAGATGTAAAAAAAAAAGTAAAAGCTTCCAGATTTGAGAGCTTTTTGGATTTCGGAATTACAGATACGGGATTGTGGACCTGGTAGCGTCTGCTTACATTTTTTGGCTTGCTGGGAACCACTGGGCTGGGGGATGACAGCCCAAGACTGTGACCGCTGACTCGGCGGTGAACAGGGACCCTGGGAAAGATTCTCCATCTGGGAACTGGGCTGATAGATTGCCCTTATGGTAGACAGTAGACATTCAGTGCACAGAAATAGCATTTTCAGTTTACTTAGACTAGGGGCAACAGTAGAGGGAAAATTCTCGTTTGCTGCACTGCACCGCTCTGGTGGTCACTGCAGTGCCCAGCAGTGGACTGGGAACAGGAGACCTGGGTGTCAGCACCAACTCTGCCACAAAAGAACACCGGGACCTGAGCAAGCTTGAACTGCAGACCTGTTTCCTCACATGTAAGAGAAACAAAACAGCCCACATTTACTGAGTACTTACCATGTGCCTGGTTCTGTCCTAGGCATCAGAGCACCAATCATGAAACACTCACAGCAGCCTACTGAGATAAATATTGTTAGCATCTTCATTTTACAGTTGAAGAAACTGGCCTTAGTAACTTGCCCAAGGTCACCCAGGCTAGGACATACCAAAGCTAGGGTTCAAACCCAAGGAGTCTGGCTCCCTGAATCCAGGCTCATAAGTATTATAGTTCTCTTTCATAAAACGTTTGTTGAGATTCAAAGCCCATTCCTCCTTTATAATATAATGAGACGGGTAGGATTTATGCTTCTTTGTGGCAACTTTCCATAAACCTGTTTAGCACACTGGAGGATAGATATCACTAGCATATAATAATGACAATGAAAATGTAATAAACGAAGAAGGAATTACACGTATTTTCAATGCACAATAATAAGGAGTTCAAAGTTTATGTTTTATTTATATATATATATACATATATGTATATGCAGTTCACTAACTGCTCTAAGAATG